AGTAATCAATAAACGAGAAAGCAATTAAACCAATAAATCAAAGTACATGTGGTGAGTAAATCGAACGACCTAGCAATAAATGAATAGTGCAAATAAAATAAGTAATTACATACTGACCAATTCCGCTTCCACTGCTGATCTGTAATTAATTTTAGAATTTTTCTAATTTTTATGAAGTACAATATTGTTGATTATTAAGGTTCAATTTACCATAACAGAAAAAAGAGTGAGAGATTCTTACCCCGAATTGGTGCCCGAAATACCGTACTTTTCATTACGTCTCTTATTGGTCCCCAGATTTTCTAAATTTTTTTTAAAAAAATTAAAATATTCTTTACGTATCCAAAAATATCTCAAAATATCAAAATAGGCGTTTTAAAATTTTTTGACCAATTTAGGGTTCTGGCACAGCGTCGCTGTCGTGTTTCGGCGTCGGCTCCACCGCTACAGTGGCAGTTCCTCGCAATCTGGCCGTTTTCAACCAGTTTAGGCCAGTTTGACCGATTTTGCATAAAAACCTACAAAAACCAAGTTATGAGACCTCTATTGGCGGAAAAATGCAAAAACCGAAACCCTACCGGCGAGGTGTCTCTGGATGCGGCGGCTCCGCCATTCCTCATTCGCGATCAGGGTTCTCTTTCGACTAACCTGCACCAAAAAAGAACAAGGAACACAATGGTCAAAAAATCGTGGGAAACGGGAAGCGGGAAGTGGGTCATTGGAGGGGCTTTTGGATTTCAACCTTGACGGCTCGGCCGAGCTTCACTTGTGTTTTTCGGCCCACTCGTCGACCTTTCGGCTCCGATATGGGTATAGAGAGATTCGGGATTAAATTTCAAGTGGAAAGGAGGAAAATCTTATCTTTTCGGTATCGGCAATGGCTCCAGTGCGGTGGCAATAGTGGTCGGTGTCCTTCTCAGACGTCTGGTTCATTTCCTAACCGCCCTTCTTCTTTTTCTATGGTCACTCCTCTGTCAGCTAGGGTTTTTGTTCCCTGCGAAGAGGAGTTTAAATACTCCTCTCTATTCGATTCAGCCCGTCCGTTCGAGTCGACGTGGAGCGAGAGGAATTGTTCGATCGTTGCCTATTTAGGTCGATCACGTGGGCGAATCAGAACCGTTAAACATGATCAATCTCATCTGTCCAATCGCATCTGAAGAGAAAACATATCTGTGTTGTTTATACGTGCGGGATCTGATATGGACCGTTGGATCGCCTAAGCACGTGGATCGCCCGCGTGACATCCCGCATAGACTCGGTGTTAGTGTGTCCGTCACGCGGCATGTTCTGAGTCGCTGTTACCGTTAACGTGGCCGTCCCACGTAGTCATATTTTTTCTTTTTACGATTTTACTCCCTATTTTTAAATTTTTTTAAAAAACACTCCCCTTATTCACAATTTCACCCTTTTTTCTTATAATTGTTTTCAATCTCATACTTAATCCATTTTTTCTCAATAGTTTCACAAAAATAAAATAAAGTAAAAATTAATTTATTTTAATGTACTTATTTTATTAATGTAGAACTTATTAAGACTAATTTCAAGATCTGGGTGTTACAATTCTGGTGATCACTCCACGTCAGTCATAAACAACTTGTTAACGAGAATACACGCATAACATCCCCTAGTTTTTATTTCTTTTGTTGACGTCAATATATCAAACATAATGGAGCATTAATTTGTACAACGATTTCCAGATTCACGCAGAAGAATTTACTAAGGATATACCCTAAAAGTACTCGTGTTAACTCTTCAAATTGCAATCCAATAGTTGGTTGGAATCACGGAGCTCAAATGGTTGCATTTAACATGCAGGTTTATGTCCTGTCTTCTCTTCTATTATTAGCCAAATTACCTTTATGTGACAGGTTCTATATTTTTATGTTATATTATAAATATTTGTCCAGTATTATACTGTACTGCAGCTTATGTTACCTAAATCGATAATACGAAATTCTAGATTTCTTAATTTTGGTTTCAGGGGTGGCTGATGATAAAAAGATAAAGAAAAAAAGAAAAAAAAAAGGGTAGTTGGACACCCGTTTGGAACGGGGAAGTTACATTTCCATTTACAGTTCCTAATCCTGCATTCTCCGCCTCAAAGTTCACGACTACAACACGCCTGGGAAAGATGATTTTGCAGGCCAAACTTGCCTGCCTGTCTCTGAATTGAAGCCAGGTATCCACGCCATCCCTCTCTTCGACCGTAAGGGAGACAAGCTTGGCTTAGTGAGGCTTCTCGTTGGCTTTGAAATTTGTTCTAGGTAGATTATTTGGGTATCTTGAGATTCAGCTCTGAGGAAGACAAGAATATCGTACTTTTGAGAAATTTTTATAGTAAACTTAGATTCATCCCTCGTATAGACTAAGTTTCCTTAATTAAACTTAGTAAATCCTTTTTGCCTTTTACGATTCTGTTTTCTATTTGCTTGCTAATTTATCATATAGCACAATCATATACTTCTAGGAGAAATGTTCCATATCATTAGACCCTCATAATATCAATTCAGAGCTTGAATAATTCTTTTTAAGATTATCAAAAAAGAAGTCCATTAAATTTCAAGATTGAAAATCTTGAAAAAGAAACAAAAAGAAAATAATAAAGAGACTTGTCGTACTTATAACAGCCAGATATATTCTCATATATCAAATTTGATGAAAACAAAAGAAGAGAATGTTAACCAAAGAAAGAACAACAGTCTGATCGATGCCATGCCTTCTTGTCAAGCAAAAGTAAAATAATAGTTTCATGCGAACATATTCTCTAATTTTGCCTAATGAATTCATATATATAACCAAACTATATAAATATATAAATATATGCAAATATGTATATGTGTATATATATACCAGCACCAGCTTGAAGGGTCTCTCTAGCATTGGCCCTACAATACAATGTCCAGGGCAACTTACAAGATCTGCTTCTGTATGAGAAGAATTTTCAAGGTCAGGTTCCGTGAGACTCCAGAAGCCATTGAGAAATTGTTCCACAAATACAAATCAGAAAATGAGTTTATGTCCATTGATGATATCCATAGATTTCTGGTTGAGGTTCAGGGAGAAAGGGATGATGCAGAAAAAAAGGAGAAAGCACAGGAAATCTTCGATAAATTTAGACACCATGTTTTCCACCGTAAAGGTCTGAATCTTGACGCTTTTTCTTCTTATCTCCTCAGTGATGACAATTCTCCTCTCCTTCCTCCGCAGGTAATCTTACCCAACTGAGTGTACGTATGCATACTTATATTAGAAGTTCAATGAATTCCAAAAATCACAAAGTTGTCAGTTCACTTGAATTCTGCTTTCTTCAATTAGAATTTTTGATAACTCAATCTTGATCACAATGTTTAGTAGTTTACAAGGTCCATACAATTAACAATTATAAGTAACATTTAATCATGGTTACTATACTAAGCATAAATTACTGCTTGGCAAGATGTATACATATATATATATATATGGTATCTTATTGGATTCAGAAATTGCTTAGTTCTTTATTCCTCTTATATACATATATATTGATTTTGGAAGATGTTTGTGAATCTAGGTGCATCATCCGATGGACAAACCATTGGCTCATTATTTCATGTACACAGGCCACAATTCATACTTGACAGGAAATCAATTCTGCAGTAGAAGCAGTACTGAACCCATTATAAAAGCTCTAAGAAGTGGTGTAAGAGTTATTGAGCTTGACCTGTGGCCAAATGCTGCAGGAGATAAGGCTGAAGTCCGCCATGGCGGGTACCAAGCTAATTAAATTTATTATTCTGTTGAGCGCTACTGTTTACATGAAAGATTAGTCCTAATTACTAAATTCTTTTCAATAACTGTAGGACACTGACTTCTCCAGTGGCTCTCCAGAAATGTTTGAATGCTATTAAAGATCATGCCTTCGAGATTTCGAAATATCCAGTTGTGATAACCTTTGAAGATCACTTAACTCGAGATCTTCAGGCTTCTGTGGCAAAGGTGAGCCTGAATTTTTGTTGCTGATCTTAATAACTATATGACTTTTTTACATAGTTCTAGAGTGTTTAATTACAGCTGGTGGCCAAAACATTTAGAGACATGCTCTTTTGCCCAGGAACCGACAATATGAAAGAATTCCCTTCACCCGAATCATTGACAGGGAAGACAATGATTTCTACAAAACCACCAAAAGAGTATCTTGAAACTCAGGACACAAAAGAGAAAAGGGTCACGCAAAGGATGAAATATACAACGGATGAAGAATTTCCAGGAGATTTGAAGGCCCAAGTAACATTGCATCTGATTCAACTCACATTTGATTTGTAGTTTCTTCCTATTTATAATTCTAATATGCATTTTCATGTTAAAACTAATATGAAAATAGAAGTTGATCAGGGAATTGAATGAGAAATTTGTCAAACCGAACTGGGTAGAAAATATCCTTTTAATAGCATCCTTAACTTTCAATTTCCCATGTGAAGCAGGATTTGGCAATAGAAGAAGCACACATGCCTGACGAAGATGAGGATGCTGCTGCTCCTGAATACAGGCATTTAATTGCCATTCATGCCGGGAAACTGAAAGGGGGATTACAAAACTGGCTCAAAGATAATCCGAATAAAGTTAGGCGCCTCAGCTTAAGCGAGCAGGAGCTTGAGAGTGCAAAAACAATACATGGAAGTGAGATAGTAAGGTAAAATGAAAAGTATATGAAATATTCTACCTAGAAGATCCTTTCTGAAGAACACGCGATTAATCAGCATGCATAATAACTTCTGTATTAACTGAAATATCAATTATCAGAACAGACATTATCTGAAAATGTCCTCTTAAGACTGATCTAAGGATATTAACATTTTATTCTGAATGATCTTCCTTAAGGTTTACTCAGCGTAATTTTCTGAGGATATATCCAAAGGGTACAAGACTGGATTCATCTAATTACAATCCCTTTATTGGTTGGATACATGGAGCTCAAATGGTGGCATTTAATATGCAAGTAAGATGTCTCTCTGGATCAAAGGGGTGCAGCTACTCATAAATTTCTCTTAGTGATCCCACTCTTCTTGGTGGCCCTTCTAAAGACACTTTTTTTCTTTCTATCCAAGCTACTTTGTTTTGTCCAAATTATTTCTCTTTTTGTCTAACTGACTTCCTTTTTTTGTGTCTTGAGAATTTCCCATTTATGAGTATAAGATCCTCATCTATAAATTGAAAGATCTAAATGATTACTTTACAATCAGTTAATAGAATAATAAGTTTTTGAATCGTTTATTTAAAAGAAAAAATTGAAACCTTTATATTTCAGGTTTGTAGGCTATCAAACTCCATGGTCTTTACAACACATTGATACAACCTTTACAATTCTTTTCTTGTTAAATCTTTACAATCATTTTCTTGATGAATCTCCATTTTCACTTACTTAGGAAGTAAGTAATTTCTTCAACCAAACTCGAGTATGTCTTCTTCTGCATCCAGGCTTCTTCAACTCTTTTTCTTGTGTTCTTTGACAGGGATATGGGAAGTATCTCTGGATGATGCAAGGAATGTTCAAGGCAAATGGTGGCTGTGGCTATGTGAAAAAACCTGATTTTTTAGTGTCAGTTGGTCCCAATAATGAGGTCTTTGATCCGACTAAAACGTTACCAGTTAAGAAACTTTTGAAGGTGAGCCAACTTGGACAATACCCTCAACCACACAAGCTCCAAATCTTGATTATTTAGTTGCTGAACACATTCTGTTTTCTCCACATGTTCGCAGGTGAGAATCATCTTGGGGAAAGGATGGGATGTGGATTTTTCTTGGACACACTTTGATCGATTCTCACCACCAGACTTCTTTGTAAGGGTATGTCAATACTGTACTCTATATTTTCATTACAAATGCCAATTGTCTATAAGAAAATGTATGCTGTGACTAGGTTGGAATCGCTGGAGTTTCAACTGATGCAGTTATGAAGTACACAAAAGTTATTCAAGATGAATGGCTGCCAGTGTGGGATGAGGAGTTTGAATTTCCCCTTACAGTTCCTGAATTGGCATTGCTTCGTATTGAAGTCATTGAGTTTGACACTTCTAGAAAACATGATTTTGGGGGACAAACATGTTTACCCATATCGGAGTTAAGAACTGGGGTAAGAGCTGTTAGATTATGCAATCGGAAAGGAGAAGAATATAGTTCTGTGAGACTGCTTGTGCACTTTGGCTTTGTAATTTTTTCTTAAATGTTATTGAGATGGACTTCCAGATTCTGCATTTACTATATATGTTCTTCCTCTGTGTTATCTTAAACCTAATTGATATAAAGCATTTTGATCTTCTTTTTCATCACTGAAATACACTGTATATAGTAATCTTGAAATGGTAGAGCTCATTTTATGCAAAACTGTGAATTGTTAGACATATGTTATCAGTTCTTTTCACCTTAGAAAAGAAGTTGAAAGATGCTTGATGTATACCAAGAAAATCCTAAATTGGAATAGCTTTAGTTCAAGAAAGTTGTATATATTTATTTAGCTATTTACAAAGTTATACAAACTTTTGATTTTCTCTCCAAGTATTTTGATGTTTTCTTTATTAGTTGTAACTATTGCTTATGCTAAGGTTCATAGCTATCAAGAAAAATAATACACATTGAGGTTTGATTATCATTATTGTTATGTTTGTTCTTTTGGTTATTATTCTATCTAAATTATCACGTTCATTCTATATCCTTTTATATTTCTTGAACTTGATCTTCCAATTTCCTCTATTTTATCTTTATTTTTCTGGTTCTAACCTAAATTTTCTTTATTTCTAAACTATTTATATTACAAGTTAAAGAAACACTACTCATTCTACATTCGATGGTATTAGAGGATAATTGTTATACATACCTTTCTGCCGAAATATACTGCTTAAAAAATTAATTTTTCGTACCACCAAGCTACTTAAAAAAATCAAAGTTAAATTTTATATAACGGCTCAAGTAACTACTAACAATTTAAACTTAAATTTTTGAGAGTTAGTAATTTAGATCTAAATTGGGTCAATGATACTTAGGACTTGGGTGTTAAAAAAATGATTAGAACATCAAAAATATATATAATTATTTAGATCTATATAAGAGTTCAAGTTACATACTATCTTAAAAAGAATATGCCAGCTTGGTAACTCTAAACTGGCACAATCTTGAATTTATGAGTTTTTAAATTGTAATTTGTAGTTGTGATGTGTGGTCTTGACGAAAACATTATTGAGTGACAGACATTATAATATCTTAATATCACATGAAAAAGATATGCAATTGTTGAGTTCCATATAAAGTCTCAAATCACATATTATTAATAACTTAAGTTTTAACTTTTGAAAACCAATGGCTTTAGTCCAAAAAATTATTTGGATATGGATACGGATACTTGGACCTGGAGCATCATATTTTGCCTCTAAAAGTAGCTTATTTTTTATTACCTAAAATACAAAATTGATGAATTATATTATTAAACATGAATAAAGTAGTTAATGGGAAACTTTATTTTACTATTTCACCGAGCATTCGGTCTATCAAAATAATCTCAAATTTTCATCATCTAAAATTGTAAACCGATAAAATTCTATTGCTAAACAGGAAGAACCTTATCTGAAAAATGTTTTTTTTTTCCTTTTTAAACAATAAAACCTTATTACTTGCCTCCCAAAACTCTCTTCCTTTGCCTCTCACGTGAGATACAGCAAATTGAGGTCAAAATCTAACATAAGTGACATCAACCCATTATTTTTCTAGATTTGGTGGACGTTAAATTTGTCTACTAAATGGTTTTGGTCAAAAACCAGCCAAAATCCAGCTTGATAAGCCACTTATTTGACCTTAGAATTTCCCCTCACGTTTACAATGGCTTACTCTCCTAAAACTTCCTCTACTTTTTTCCCAAGTAAAACTAGTAGTTTTCAGGAATCACAATTCAAAAGTCCCAAATATTTATTATATATACACAATAGATTAAGTTTCTTGGAATAGTTTGCTATATATGAATTGTGTATTACAAAGAGGGCTGGTGATTGCATCACATGCTCTTCTCATTGATTAGCTGAAAACAAAATATTTTACTCCCACTTTTCATATTTTTCTTCTAGAATTTTCGCTGCTTTCTTTCTTTACCTCTTTGCAGATGGGGCAGCCTGGAAATGATCAAAAGGTGGATCCACTTTCTGAGCCTTATAACAGCTTTACCCTTTTTCCCAAATGACAAAATTTAGCCACAAGAAAAGAAAAAAGCAAAACTCAACCTTTCAGGTAACACCATCCAGTACTACATCTCTCCATGTTCTTGCACATACCTAGGACGGATCTTTGTCCAACTCACCTATATTTGTAGGACAGATTGTCTGCTGAAAATTATTTGTTATGACTTTGCTTGGAATCTAATGAAAATTGCTTCTCCGATTGTTTGTCACAGCACGTCTTTCCAAAACTTTCAAATATATATATATATATATATATATATATATATATATATATACATATATAAATATACGTACGTGCGTGTGAAATTATTGAGTATGTTGGGAGTATATATTCATTCTCTTGTTTGTATTCATCTGGGATTTGTGTATTATTGATAAATATGTTAAGAAAGAAAAGTGACTACTATTGATGTTATTGAAGATTTACTCAAAAGACATGAACAAAGAGACAAGAACTTGTAAAACATTGAGTTGTAACATATAGATATAATTGACCTCTCAAATTGACTGTGAAGAAATCATGTTAGTATTGAAAAAAGAATAAAAGATTATGAAATTTTTCTTGTAACAGTGCATAAGATTTCTTTCTTTTCATTCTGAAGTAAAGGAAAGTGTTCTAGGAGAGAAACTGGCATTGTCATCCTCACAAAGAGCCAGTGCTTTCTCCAAGTTAGCAACAATTTCAGCAACGTTAGGCCTCTCTTTACCTTCCAATCTGACGCAATGGAGGGCAGTGTAAGCCATTATCTCAACTGCCTCTGCCTCCTTGTCTGGCACAACAACTCTTCTGTCCAGCAGTGTCAGTAGCTCACCTGCGAAGATCTTAGGACTCGCATATTCCACGACCCCCATGACTCCTGTTTCATCCTCTTCAGTTTTGAAAACAGCTTTTCTTCCTGTCAAAAGTTCCAACAATACTACGCCTAAGCCATAAACATCACTTTTTGATGTTAGTACATTCATGACATAGTACTCAGGATCTATATACCCAACTGTTCCAACAGCCTTGGCTGACATGAATTCTTGATCAGGTTCTGGACCCAGAAGTGATAATCCAAAATCGGATACTCTAGCAGTCCAATTGGCATCAAGAAGTATATTTGAAGACTTAATGTCTCTGTGAATTATGGGTGGTACTGCATAGTTGTGGAGATAATCAATTCCTCTTGCAGCATCCAATGCAATTTTTATCCTCATTTTCCAAGAATTCAAAATGCTGCTAGTTTTCTCGGTGTTGTTCCTGCTATGCAAATGATCATGGAGTGCGCCATTGCTCATGTACTCATAAACTAAAAGCCTCTCATCCTTTTCTTGGCAGAATCCGATTAATCCCACCAAATGCTTGTGGTGAAGGCGCGATAGCAATGCTAATTCTGAATCAAATGCACTTTCTTTCTCTTGAAACTTCTTTCTCTTCGCTGTGATTTCTCCTCTCTTGATTGCCACTTCAATGCCATCGGCAAGCTTGCCTTTGTAAACAGTGCCAAAGCTACCACTACCGATCTTATTCACTAATGAGAAGTTATTAGTAGCTGCAGCCAACTCTGATAAGGAAAAAATCCGAGTCTTGTCTGCTTGCTTTGATGATGAGGATGATCCACTTTTCTGGCGCGCCAATCTTCTTGAACTTTGGCGCTTTGAGAATGACCTTAAAGCTGATGCAACAGAGTTATTGTTGTTAATAGTAGCAGCAGCAGGAACCAGGACATTGTCATCTCTAGTTGTGGGCTGTGTAGAGTCGTAGATTTTGTTGTGCAAGAAACTGCATACTCCCATCCACAGACAATATACAAGAGAACAAATCCCGACAAAAGTCCCAACTGATCCAACAGCCAAAACTGTCGGCGAAAGCCAGTTGCTGCCCTTTCTTGACCAAGAATGCGTGCTGTTAGGTTCCTGCTGTGTTGGTGTAGGCGGCAATGGCAATGCAATAGGAAGTTCACTCTGGCATGATCTGCATATATTTCCCGAACCATCACACAGTGTCTCCGAATTTGGATACACACCACAAAAACTACATGAATCTTGAACACAAGGACCTGGAATTATGTGTCCTAAAGGAAGATGATCATTATGGGGAATAACCTCATTAGACCACCCTGGTCCCCAACACACCATTGTCAAAGTCCTTGTTGTTAACCCACATACGAAATCCAGACCTGCAATGATGGACTCAAACGAAACATCTTCTCTGAAACCATAGTAGAATCGATCAAATCGAATTGCTCCCCAGCATACCACCAACCCATTTCTTCTCTTAACTCCACAACTAAAATCTGCTCCCAGTGCAAGACCTGAAAATTCAAAAGGTGAACTAAAAGGAACATCCAGCTGCCCAGATTGATTATTCCCTTTACAGACTAATAAGCCTGCTCTTGTCAGCCCACAAGCATGAGACTCTCCGGCAACCAAGCTTAACATCAACAAATCACCAAACTGTGTTTGAATTTCTGCTCCAATGGCATTACTTCCCCAACAAAAAACTCTGCTATTATTCTTCAGAATCCCACATGTAAACCCACTACCTGAAGTGATTGTACTAAACCTCAAACCAACATCAGGTGATGGAAACCGAAACCTACCTCCTCTCCAGCATTTGGCTACACCAGACACGACCTCCCTGGCACAAACCTGATCAGCACCCACAGCAAGATCAGTTAATGAAACGGTGTCGTTGTAGTATATCCGTCTCGGTTTAGACCTCCAATCACCCGTTACATCATCAGTCCCCCAGCAAAGAAGAGTTGACCCACCGTATCTGAGGCCACAGAAGAAGCTCTGGCCACCGGAGATGGCTTCGAAGGAGATATTAGGAAGAAGTGAAATGGGTTTGCCACCATTGTGGTAGCACTGGATTCTCTGAGTTGGTTCCCCCGCAACAATGCCACAAACAGTCGCAGAGCCGTAGGTGATGGCAGCAGTGGAGGCAGAGCCAAGGCCATGAACATAAACCACTAGCTGACATAGTGAGATGATGACGATGAAGAAGAAGACGAAGAAGGCAAAAACAATGGTGTTGACAGGAAAAGAAGTGATTTTCATTAGATGGATTGGAGGTGGAAGGCAATGGAAGTATTAGTATCCGGTTTCTTCTTCTTCATCGAGAGAGATGAAGAGGAAGAAGAAGAAGAAGAAGAAGAAGAATGAAGAAGAAGAATAGATTAGCACGATGAGAATGATAACAATGGAGTGGAAAAAAGAAATGCACACACGCCTCTGAATTAATGGGGACAGCATGTGGTCCCTGAAAAAACTTGGTGATTGCTGAGATGTTAGTGGTGGGTTTCAGTTTATATATATGTATGTATATATAAAGATCTCTCACGAAAACTCAAACTAAGACTTCCCTCTTTTTAATAAGTTTCAACCCTTTTATTGCATGACACCAAAGTTTTCTTCTGCTATAAATAAGAAGCCTAAGTGCTTATGATTTCACGCAATAGTCAAACAGTTCTTCATGTAAATAAAAGCAGCAATTTTTTTATTTGTAATTACATCTACCAGAGAAAAATAGGAGATAAATTATACTTTCACCTCATTGGATTCACTTTTTTTATAATTTGTTACCACATATTTTTTGAAGAGATTTATTACCATATAATTCATTATAACAATAGGAGATAGACTGTAATTTTCTCTAAACTTGGAGAGATCATTTATGAATCTAGACGTCGTATTGAGATTTGAGTCAAATATGGAAATAATTCCTTCTATAAGAAATTGGAAAAGATTAATATTTTAGACTTGTATGAGTTTATTTTGTGCCGGTTTGGGAAGTGCCTGTAGAATCATGGGTTAACGTCTGTTAGAGAGTCAAATCGTTAGGTTTAAAGATGACAGGGAGGAGAGCTATTTTTATAATACCTTCTGATACCTTACTAATTAATGTTATTGTTTAAGATTTGGCACATAACTGGATTTAATTAATTAATCTGATTTAAACTTGTTAACCTATAACCCAAGGTGATTAGAAGAGACCCAAGAATAATAATAATGACTAAATGTTGTAATTTTATCAAATCAGGGCGTTTAATTTTTTCTTTAATCATATGCTGAATCAATCACCAGTTCCATCAAAAACATATTATCTGCGTAGAACTAAACTGTTCACAGAAAAAAAAATTGCAATCTAATCTTTAAAAACTAAAGAAATTCACAGAGTCCCTCCGTTTAATCTCAAAAAAATTGAATTCTGAATGTCAGATGGTGGCGCTTAACAACAAATCAACAGTCTTTTGATTGAATCATGCATCATAAACCATAATCTACTAGGAAGTAGTCTCTTTCAACTTTCCTGGGACGTAAACCTAATGCTGCTCCAAAAAACTCTCAAAAAATTTTCGTTTGAAAATCGTTTCATTTCATTTTCTATACTCTTGTCACAAGAATTTATATTTCTGAATTCCATCTCCGGTATACTAACTTCACGGTGTCAATCACTGTGTATAATTTATAAACAAAAAAAAATATATAGACCAATATTGGGGAGCCCAATGTAATAATATCACATCTTCTACAACAAAAGTACAAGAATGAATGCCTCGTGTGTCAAATTTTCATTTTGGAACATCCAATGAGCTATAAGATCTAATCAAATCTCACATCAACCACAAAAAACAACGGACAAATGAAATAATTAAAGAACTGGCTCAGCAATCTCACATTTTTATTTTGAAGTTGAATCAGACGTTTTATTAATCCAAGAAAAGAGGGCAGCAGGACAAGTAGTTGATTGTACATCCCTACCCATAAATAATTCACTCACTAACCAACATTTTATAATGGTTACAACACAGTCAAATATAAAGGCAACCCTCAACACCTAACAACTTCTTCTATGTCAACTTAAAAACTGTGTTATGGTCTGCTACTAAAAAATCTCATGTTGATTTAACGATATACCATTCCTTCCAGAGAAAAAGATGTTTTACAGCAAGATTTGACTGTCACTGCAGTGAGTACATGGTATGTAAATGTGGAACTTACCAATGCACGAGCATCCTTATAATCACGGATCAAATCCAGTTCCCACCAAGTCAAGTTGTAGATCTTGTATCTATGGGGCACGATGTAGAGAAAATTGTCGACCCAAATCTCAGCACAAGCTTCTAGGCTTCGAGAGGATCTTTATCGTATGAGTCAGCTCCTTTATCAAAAGTCTCGTATTCAAAATCCTGATCCAGACACTCCATGGTTTTCCCAAAAACAAATGATTTTGTTCCCATTGTTGTGAAAGGCATCAAACCAAAAGCTCGTGCTGTTTTGATCTCCCTAGCAACCTTCCTCTGGGCCTTTGCACTAATGCCAGTCTAAGGAAAAAGGATGGCCAATTAGGAAAGATTCACACTCAATTGAAAATCCAACAATTGTAGATGATTAACAATTAATGCAGAGATTACCTGCTTCCTCTTGATAATAATTCCAGCTTCTGTTAGGAAGTTTGCTAGAAATCTGACATTCTGCCAAGAACAACACATTCAAATATGTAACTGAATGCTAGGGCAACAGAGATGAAAACAAACAAACAAAACTAAGAAAACTCTGTTATGGAAATGCAGAAAGACTAAAAGACAATTCGGCAAAAATTGAGGCTGGCACCTAATAGCTATCACAGCCTTAAAGGGACCTCTTGAAAACTTTTTTCATGACAATCATACATGCCAATGCATCATATTTATGAAAGGAGCAACCATCAAACCACCAACAGAATTTTAGGGCCTCGCCAGGGCCTTGAGAAACAACAAAGATGAAACTTCAAAACCTCTACCACCAAAAAGGGTCCAATAATGATTCAATGGACTCTTTCCTTGTAATTTGCCAACTCATATCAGTTAATAATCCTTGTTCTGTTAAGGCATTCAAGAGACTTTGATTGGTCTTCATATCAAAACAAGACTGGGAGAGGCCATGGACATAAATTATATGCTAAATCCTCTACACGCTCACCCTGAAATCAGCTTTCCTCAGGACTTCCTCTGTAGTTACTTCAAACTCATTTCTTCTGGAAATCTTAGGTACTGCTGGTTTTGTAAGATCGAGATCCTGCACCAAACCACAAAGTGCTTTAATGAAACAAAACTAACATAAACCAGAAGAAAGCAAACAGTAGCATCAGAAACCAAGCAGAAACTATTTCACTATTATAGATACCACAAAAACAGTAAAGGATACCCTAACATGCTGTGGAAATATCTTCTTCGACAAAGATTTAAACAATTAAACTGTGGATACGCCTAAAAAGCGACCCAGGTTATAGAAGCAAGACTGGTAGTCATTCAGAGAGTATTTGCGCAACTTAACTTTGGTCAACTTAACTTTGGTCAAAGGAGCTTATAACCTCTAGCAGTGCTCCCAATTCTGGTGAAGTAACTTGCAAGTTATAACTTAGGTAGGTTATCTCTTACAAGAGCAATTTCGATCATGCTCTCGTACAATTTTATTTTTAAACCCAACTGGTCCATAACCTCCAGGACCATAACCAAGAATGTATGACATCAACAACCACCATTAAAGAAACAATATTACCAGAAACAAAGGTGAGCTAGGAAACATGTTCATGTACCACGGTATGAAATTATTTTCTTCTAATCTTAAATACTATAAATTTCCTTCGATCTCCGCGTCATATCCAACATCAAAGATCTACTCATGAAACATAACTTTGTAACAACTAAAAACAAAAACGACGCACCTTGATGTCGTAAGTCACGGCATCCCTGAAACTGGCATCGGGTCTGAACATATAAGACTCGTCGTCCACTTCATCTGGGTCGAACTCAAAGGACATAGCCGCCTTCTGCAGCTTCCCCTCCATGCCATCGGACAACGTACTGAAGCTCTCGTCGAGCTCACCGTCGTCCGGAGAATCTCCGGACCAGCCTCGGCCTCTCTCTAATCTGTCGAGCTTCTGGAAGAAAGCATCGGACCTCGCATTGTTCCCTGAAAACCCGCCGAATATCCGCCTCTCGAACTCGTCGGCCGGCTCGAATGAATCTAAACTACTCTTCTCCTCGACTTCGTCAACTGTTTCCAAGCTCCAATTCTCTTAATAACCAACGACAGCCGACAAAATTAAAAAATATATATATACACACACTATAAGGTACCTGGAGATGCATTCGTGGAGAGAGTTCGGGCGACGAGAGGACGACGGAGATGGAGGGAAACAACATCGTTAAGTGACCGAATCGCCAATCTGGTGATTTTCATTTCCGATAAGTAATAGAAATGGTACGATTTGATGGTGAGGTGCACAGCAAATCTGCAGAGAAGCAAATTGAGAGATTAGGGTTTTGATTGGAGGAGGGTTTGGGGAGCGAGTGAGAAGGATGTGATTTTGGGCTTAATGTCCGATAAAGCTAGGCCCAATCAACGATTTTGTTTTTTTCTACGGGCCTCGTTCTCTTCACGCTTGAGTTTAGTTTTATAATAATTAATTTAATTTACATAAAAGTTTAAAATGTTTGGAGCTTTAAAGATTAATTTAATCAACAAACTTATATATGTAAAGTCTATAAATTTATGACCCCAATTTTTACTTATAAATATATTTTCTTATCCATTCTATCAAATGTTATATTATTTTTTATAACTTTATACCAAAATATTGCACATTTGAACATTTTCAATTTGATTGTGTCAATTGATTTTGTTTTACTAACTCAAAGTTAATTCAATGTTAGAGATCAATCGTAGAGAAGAGAGACTCATTATTAATAATTGGATATACATATATATATATATATACATGTATAAATGAAAATTAAGGTTTAAATGTCAAACAAATTAAGATAATTTACTAACAAATTTCAATCCAATTCTATAAATTGAATTTTTTTTTTTTTCTCAATCATGTTTTAAAATGGGTTTTAAAGTTAAATCAATCATAGAGAACCATTAATTATTGTTAAGAATAATCACAAAATTAAGGTTGAAATATCAAATAAATCATCATGGTTAACAAATTTCAATTCAATTTTATATACACAATTTCTAAGTTGAATCAATCATATAATTATTGATTGAAGAATCATAAAGTTGAGGTCGAAATATCAAAGAAAGCATCAACAATTTTTGAACAAGTATGGAAAAACTTCCACGTCATGCTGTGACATTAATATTTTTTATAAATAAATAAATACAATTTCTATAATATATTTTTTTTAACTGAATATTGATTATAATACAATAAACATAATTGTTAAATTAGAACAATAAATAAATAAAATCTATTTTGAACGCACAATTTTATATTAAAAAAATGAAAATATTAAACATTAAAGTAAAATAATAGTTTGATACATTTTGATAATAATAATAGAAGGTTGAAAATGTTGTTTCTATTAATACGAGTACTTTCGTAAATTATAAAAAAATAATAATAATCCATAATTTGACTTTGATATTATTATGCTAATTTTTTAATAATACCATAAAATATTATTATACTGATAAATTTAAAATTGTAGCAACTGGCCAATTAATAAAAATAGTTATTTATTTTTCGGAGGGAATAATTAAATATTTAAAAAATCACAGGATAAATAAAAATACAGAAATATTTATATGCGATAGTCAGATTATAGATATGACTTTGTGGTTTATAAAATTAACTCTGATAATTATATTTCCAGGGGGAGGGTACATATACATATATATATATATATATTGTTGAATAGAATGATTTTTGTATATGAGGATGTGAATTGTGAAGGCAATTATATTCTCCACCATCACATCAAAAAATAAAGAGGCAATATACTTTGATTGACATATGAAGATATGAGTAAGCAGTCGCACAAAATCTCCTCCACTCCACAGAATATGAATTGGGCATCTGTCTTTCTAGGTGTGGTTCAAGTGGTTTCTTTTCTTATTTTTTATATTGAATTTATATATATATATATATATATATCTATTGATATTCTTTCCCCTTTTAGACAAATATATTGATTTTCGAACTATATGTATTGTTTTTAAAAAAAAAAAAATTATTTTTCAAATTAAAGTTTTTAAAAGTATACTTTTTGCCTTTTAAAATATAAAAATTTAGTGAAATTTGTTATAAAACTTTAAAATAAACATGATCCCATATAAGAGATAAAAAAAAATAAATTTTATATAAATTTAAATAATTAAAATTTTTATTATCATAATATATTATAAAATAATTTTTATCCGTTGAGCACGACCCGTTCACTCAATACTATCGGATCACTAATATCGATTTTCGTTTTTGCTCAACATGTTGAGTCTTGTAGTTAAACTCTTTTTTATACTTTTGCACTTAAGGATCGATTTCAGTACTATTCGATAAAACTTTTGCACGTTTTTATTTTTTTTTTAGAAAACCTACGCCTTATAAAAATTGTCTATTCGAAACTGTTTCTTAGTTCATAGGTCATGACATAATATTAAAATTCTAAATTTTTTAAAATAATATATCATTAATAGTTCAAAATTTTGAGATTTAACGGCAAATTTTAAAAAATTCACCTACAGATGTTTTATATCAAATCATTCCAAATAACGTTTGCATCATCTTTATTACTGCAGTTATTGGCACAAAGTTACAACAATTATATATGGTTCAATTTTCTCATTTGTCAAATTTTTTTTACTCATTCTTTTTAATCTAAAATTTAGTAGAAGAGAAAAAAAAAATAATGAGTCCAAAAAACACGGTAAGAAGTATTTTTTCTCTTTTGATATAATTATTGTGTATATATTTACATTTACTGTTTAAATATAATTATCAATAATTACTTTATTTATTTTTATATATATAAAAAAAAAAGAAACACTTATTTCGCTTTTGTTCCCATTAATTTGTCCACTTGAGTGGGTTTAGAAAGAGAAATGTTGGAGTATCCAACTAAGGTGGCAGCACTGCACGAAATCTTCCACAGAAAAGGAAGGTTCTCTTCTTTTGGAATCAATCAAATAGTAGATAATAAAAATAAATTAACTCGATTGTAGGGTGGTGGATTTATATTACAAACATTTATTTTCTTTTCCCCTTGTGGGTAATTTGTATTTAATTAGAAAAAGAAAATAATTTTAATGTAAAAAGTTAAGAGTAAAATATTTTTTACCCCCCCCAAAAAAAAAAAAGGTTAAAACATATTTATATATATGTATATAAATTGGGTTGATGTGATTAAAGGAGAAAAGTAGCCATTTGCTTCATCATCTTTGTTACAATGGTGGAAATCTAGCTGTCCCATTCTCAGCCATTTAGAATTTTCCCACACAAAAATCAAAAATTAAAATCCCAATAAGTTGACCAAAAAACCAATTATACACTCACAACACTGTTAAAAATTATTGAAACCATTAGGTGAAAGTTTTCTAAAATTGTCCGTACAAATCCTCCTAAAATATCCCCTTTCTATTTCCATAAATTGCAGGGTATTTTCTGCAGGGGCTACGAGACTGTACTCACACGAAATAAAAAATATACACATGTATGTATGTATGTTATAGAGGGCAGTCTACCCTAGACCCAGAAAGAGTTTAGGGTAGGTCGTGAGAAATAAAATAAAATTTAAAAGAACAATATTCCAGAGAGGTTGTTGTTTGGTCTGGGCTAAAAAGGGTTTTGAAAGAAGAGGGAAGGAAGGAAGGAATGGGAAAGAGTTCCAAATTAAGAAAAAGGAAAACTTTTTGGAGAAAGTGAGATTCATCGGGCTATAAATTATCCCCCCACCCCCACCCATCCTTTTTCTTTTCTTATTTACGCCTCCATTATTGTCACGTACATCATATCCTCACGCTCCGTTTCCGATCACTAAACCCACGCGCTCACTAATTTCAATACTAATAATCACTAATTAGTATTCTTAATACTTAATTACATAGAAATAAACTTTCAATACTATTTCTTTATATTCAACCAAAACAAAAAAAAAAAAAAAGTTGTGCAGAAGCCTCTTTGTATCTCTTTTAACTATTTTATAATATTACACTTAAATACGATTCACTCACGTATCGAATCGTCAATATCATATTCTCTTAAAATTAGTGTGTGTTTGAATTTTAAACGTTTTAATAATGCATTTGATTTGATTTCGTAGCACATATTTTGTCTCATTTTTCCACGATGTTGGGTACTACGTAAATTTATAATTTATTGACTTAGTTGTATTTAAGTTCTTGACTCCACCGCTTGAACAGTACTTTTCAAGTATTTAATGCATGTTTGCGCGAATATTTATGAAGAAAAAAATAAAAACAAAAGAGGTGCAAAAGAAATTGGCATTTGCAGAGTTCATGACATTACTTTTGTCGTAGATGCAAAATCAATTGCTTCTTCGCGAATCCCATGTTCTTGTCTACGTACTAATTACAAAAATTATATTATAATTTACATTACTTATTTGCTTAAACAAAAACAAATAGATTATTGGATCAAACCCACGAAGCTTACTCTCCACTTGTTATAATAATTTTGAAATTCATTTTAATAACAAAAAAAGGTATATAAAATGTTTTTTTTTTAAATTTTCCCGCTGCAGATCAATCTCTATCTGCTACAACCTCCAAAATGATGCTATTAACTTGTTCTGTCTCGCATTGTCCTTGTCATCGTAAATCTCTACTTTGAAGGACTGCCAAACAGCAGATATTGGAGTGTGGTTCCACGCGCGGGACAGGTGGGTGAGCCCCGTTCATGACTTGCGAGTTGGGTTCCAAGAGGCGCTCTCCACAGGCATTTTAGCTTTTGAAGGGGGGAAGGAATTGCGTCAGCGCTTTGCTTATCTCAGACTGCGCGTGAAAGTTACGCGAGATTGACTTCCGACATATAGATTATTTATCGCAAAGAGATTTATAACAAGTTTATATTAAATATTTTCTTCAATAAACTTATGTTAAAATTAAATTTACAAAAATAAGGATGTTTTTAATTCATTAATTTTATTATTGAATTATATAAAGTATAACTAAATATATTCACATTTTTATTTGCCTATATTTTATTTTTATAAAATTTTTTTTCGGGGTAATTTCGAAAATTTGGCTTTAAAAGAATTAGTTAGTTATTAAGCATAATAGGCTTGGATTTTATTAATTTAGGCTCGATTCAACTGGACAAGCACTAAATAATAAGTTCAAAATTTTAAGATATTATATATATATATAACATAATTTTTTAATATTTTTTTATAAATTAAAGTTAAAATTTTATTTTAAAAAACTTCTTTATAATCTTATAACTCACTTTTTAGTTTATATTCTGTTGTCAAAAAATATAGTGCTCATTTTATTTTTTTTTCTGTATTTATAAGTAAATCTTTAGAAA